ACCACCCAATCAGGACCGCAGGTATTAAAGGGATATCACCGCAAATGGCAAGTCATTCACAGCTACAAGCTCGAAGGCCCCTGATCTTGGAATTGGCTTTTGGAATCTTTGTTTCAGCCTCGAATAAAAACATTTGTTTAAAAATGAGTCAGAAATCATACAAACACTGCCGCCCTGCCCTTTCTGTCATGGCTGCTGTAAAACACTCACAATCTGCCTTTTCACAACCGACCTCCGGGAAATGCAACAGGCCACAAAATGTCACAAACAATTGCTTTGTTAACCAGTTAAATGTCTTGTTCATGAGTGATTTCGAGATGGCTGCTCAGCTGCTGGTGTCTGCACCCGTTCGCTTTCGGTGATTTGGGAGATTGGCCTGATGACAGCATGTTACCATCTGGAGATCACGATTCCCTACTTTACATATGCATGGAGGAGAGTGGGTGGTGGGGGAATATGTTGTGGGGGGCGTTGTGGGGGTGTGGGAGCCCACCCCAATTGGCTGATGTAAAATACAGCCCAAAACGTTACCCCAACGTTCCCTGTTGGAGCTATTAATGACTCTCTGATGTTTATTGGCTCCTAGTTTTAGACTTCCTCAGAAATGAACACATCCTCTTTACATCGACCCTATCAAACTCCTTCCTAATTTTAAAACCCTCTATCAGGTCTCCTTCTTATTTCTGTAGGAAAGCATGTAAAGATTTTCATTGCAATAACCCCCCAATTCTGGTATTATCCTTGTAAATGTATTTTTGTTTACCCCTTTTTAAAATACCGGATACTGATACAGTCATATGGAGACCAGCCAGTGCCGGGGATTCTTAGGTTTAGTCTAAGCTGAGCTCTATGTGTGTGTTGCTGAAAAAGACAACTTTTGTTGAAGCTTTCCATCTTGCATCAGGACAATTTGCAAGAAATACTAATGTAAAAGGGAATAACATTTTGAACTGCATGACAAGAGAATGCTGATTGGTTCTTAAGTGGATTTACATTGGTAGAAGATTTGCAATGGTGAATGCACCAGTGAAGTGATGACTGACAGTTAACTGCCAAGCTTGGTTTAAGTTTAAACCAGGCAGATTGACTGTGATTGGTTAAGGCATTGCCTTAAGGAATGGAGAAGAATATAACTATTACTTATTTTTTTCAGATGAGACAGGCGCAATGTTTGTGCATATTCTTTCTGCCTGTCAAACTTGCCATCTCACCAATTAATTTCTGGGCAAGAAAGTCCATTGGCAACATTTGTGACCTCCCACCACTTTAAACCCTTAAAAGTTAATTAACAGCGAATATAGATCTGCAAATTGTCACCTCCTCAAATACCTGCCTTCTTGATAGGCAGGAAAAGTGGCTGGTTTCCTGACTGAGTAACCAGGGTAACTCCTGCTCAGTAGTGCCAAGCTTCCAGTTTCCCTCATCTTGGGTAACTGGGGACATGGATTGGGGGTAAGAAGCGACATCTGAAATCCACTCTCTGCCCAAGCCACTGACTCCTCTCCCAGAATCCCTATCCTATGACAAAAAGGTATGAACATTTACCTTCTGGTCATGGGCTCCCCTGAGGTATAGGCCTCGGCTGACTGTCTTTTAGGACCCAGGAGCCGCTGGCCTCTGATTAGCCCATGGCACCTGGAGACCCAGGATGCCAGCGTCATGGCCTGTGATAGGCCGAAGCTTTCTCGTCAGTTCTTAACAAGCTGATTGACACCTGTCAAGTCAAATTTTCTATCATGTCAGCCAACCCTTAGCCAAAAAGAGAAAAATCACAGGCTAGAGGATTGCTTTACAAACTATTAGTGGCTAATACAACACACATGTGTCGCTTTATCAGAGGTGTCAAGGTAAAACATAATCAGATACTATGTGGTGAGCATTACAGCAGGTCCTCACTTAAAATTGTTGTTGCATTTCTGAAAATCATAACTTTAAGTTCATAGAAATTTACGTTAAAACTGGAGTTAGGTTCCTTCGGACGTTTCTTAGGCTCCTGGCTTGGCACAGCCTCCCAGCATGGTGTGTCACTGAATGATCTGGTGCCAGGGCCTGGTGTGGACTGGAAACTAGGTGCCAGTGTGGTCTGTTGTACCGAACATTTATTTCTGTAATGCTGGATATTTTATTTCTCTATTGTCTGAGATCTTGTGACTAAAGAAGCTGTGCCTGGGTACTTTCTGTATCTAAGTTGGTGCTGTAATTGGTGACGTTAGAAACTTTCTACTATACTCGTTGAGTATATGTGATGATAAAAACTATTCTATTCTAAAAATGAACAAGGTACAGGTTGAGTTGCTGCGGATTCCCAGCTGCAAAATAAAATAAATCAACTAATATTAAAGAAACATTTAAACATTATCAAGTTGGAATGATGTACATTCCTAAATGCCTACATTCACAAATAAATTAGCCTTTAAAATACATTTGTATTATACTTCACTACACTCATAAATGACAATATTGGAAGTAAACGTTAAGAAGGTACTCAGCTGACAAAGTTTTAACTGAGGCTCCATCTTGTGGCAGAAGCTGGTCAGAACTTCCTGCACTGACCAACTCCGGGTACACGAAGGCAAGGATTTCAGTGCAAGTTCAGAACAGGAGCAAGAGAGAAGCAGAACAACAAAGTCCTCATTAGTGACACTGGAGATGTTAAAGGTTAGATTGGAGGGTGGGAATGGGAGCTCTGGTGGGATGGGCAATCAGGAAGAAGGGCAGGGGCAGGAACAAGAGGCAGGCTGGGGGAACTTCAGGACTGATGGGGAAAAGATCTTGTGCAGAGGCAAGAAATGGACATATGTGGCAAACTGCATTACAGTGAATCTCGTAACACGAAGCAAATATTATCACTTTTTTATTAATGATGTCAGGGAGAGACAGAATTACCTGAGTCACCTTTAGACTTATTGTATCTGGTGTCTGCACCCTTCTCTGCAACAGTCTTCAAAGTGTTTAATTGGTTGTGGAATGCAGTTGGATGTCCTAAAGATGTTCTATAAGCCAGTGGTGGCACATTCTCACTCTTGAGTCACAAAGTTTTAGGTTCACATCCCAGTTCAGGGACTGAGCCCAGAAATGAAGACTTACGGTTCATTGCAGTACAGAGGGAGTACTGCACTGTGGGAAGTGCTGAAATCTTCCTGATCAGATGAGGCTTCCATCTAGTAGCACAGTGGCACAGTGGTTAGCACCGCTGTCTCACAGCGCCAGGGACCCAGGTTCGGGCAACTGTCTGTGTGGAGTTTGCACATTCTCCCCGTGGCTGCGTGGGTTTCCTCCGGGTGGTCCGGTTTCCTCCCACAGTCCAAAGATGTGCAGGCTAGGTGGATTGGCTGTGCTAAATTGCCCATAGTGCTCAGGTATGTGTAGATTAGGTGGATGGGTCTGGGTGCGATGCTGTGAGGGTCGGTGTGGACTTGTTGGGCTGAAGGGCCTGTTTCCACACTGTAGGTATTCTATGATCTGCCAGCTGTAAAAGATCCCATTGCACTGTTTCAAAGAGATCCAGGATGTTTTCACCCCAGGCCCCTGGTCATTAATCAACCAAGTCTCAAAAACCTGCTCACTATAGCAACACGCATTGGGACATCATGCTGTGTGCAAATTGATGGCTGTGTTTCCTACACTATAGCAGTGATTACACTTCAGAAGCTACTTCATCAGCTTTGAAACAAGTTATAATGTCTAGTGATCACGGAAAGTGCTGGATAAATGAACGTTTTGTCCTTTAAAATGCAAACAAAGTGTAGCCATGGGATGGTTTGTTAGATTCCTCAGCAATATAAATTCAGTGATACATTTTCACAGAGGGCACGTTAATCCACAGACATGGGGGTGTGAGTACACAGATCTTTGAAGATGCCATGTTAAAAGCTGCTTAAAAATAATTGGGCAGAATGCCATTCAGGTGGCAGGGGACATGCCGACAAATGACCTGTGTTGTCTGTTCTGAGAAAGGCCTACCAAAGCAGAATCCAAGCCTACACCTGGAATTAAGCCCCTGCATTAGATGGGAGACAGAGAATGGGAGGAGATGGGGGTGGGGGCGGTGGAAGTCCTGCCTGGCAACAGCTGCTGGTGTGTGATAGGCTGGCAGCTCTTGTGGTCACCAATACCATGGTGAAGACTGTGCCTGCTTCTGGAACTGTACCCAGGCCCGCTGTAAGAGAAGTGCTGTTTGTGTGGGAGGATGGGCTTTCTGTGGTTGGGGAGGGGGGGTAAAGGGGGGGGAGGAGGCGGGGGGGGGGGGGGTTGGGTGTTGGGGGGGAGGCAATGGCAGTCGGCAGACACTCCCTCCACCCAGCTCTACTTCCAGCCCTTCAATCGGGCTCTCCCTTGATGAAGGAAATTTCCTCTTTTAAGCGGCCTTATTCTCTCCCTATTTACCCTTTTGTCCTTTATGTATTTATAAAATCCCTTTGGATTCTCCTTAACGCTATTTGCCAAAGCTATATCATGTCCCCTTTTTGCCATCTTAAGTATTCTCCTACTGCCTTTATACTCTTTTAGTGATTCACTCAATTTCGGCTATCCATACCTGACATATGCTTTCCTCTTTGTCTTGACCAAAACCTCAATTTCTTTCGTTACCCAGCATTCCCTACACCTACCAGCCTTGCCCTTCACCCGAATCGGAACATACTGTCACTGGACTCACGCTATCTCGTTTTCCAGCTGTCCCTTTACCTGCGAACATCTGCCCCCAAACAACTTTTGAAAGTTCTTGCCTAATACCATCAAAATTGGCCTTCCTCTAATTTAGAAGTTTAACTTTTAGATCCAGCCTATCCTTTCTCATCACTAGTTTAAAACTAATAGAATTATGGTCATTGGCCCCAAAGTGCTCTCCCACTGACACTCAGTCACCCCGCCCTGCCTTATTTCCCAAGAGTAGGCCAAGTTTTGCACCTTCTCTGGTGGCTACATTCACATACTGAATCAAAATTTTCTCGTAAAGACTTATCATCAATTCTGATACTTCTTCCTTCCTGCCTTCACAGCTAAGATGACTCCCCATGCCATTCCTGAAGCTCCAGTGACCCCAAATCTGGATCCAGAGGAGCAGAGGCAGCACATGATGGGCAGGAGGTTAAAAGTCATCAAAGAGCTCGTAGAGACTGAGAAAGATCACTTCAATGACCTGGACTTGTGCATCACACAAGTAGTTCAACCACTGAGAGAGAAAAAGGTAATATTCTCAAGACATTTCTTAAACTTTTCCTCTCCGTAGCTTTGATTTGTTGACTTGCTTTGCAATGTGCTGACATGCTGTAGAAATTCGTAGAGTCAAAATCAATCTCACAATTTTACCTCTTGTTGTTTTTTTCCCCTTGAGGAAATAGCAGCAGTTCCCCCAAAGCTGGTGGCAATACTTTGTACTTTCTTCATTACCAAAGTGACCTATTTCCATCTCCACATCATCATCATCCATTATCTCCCATCCTCCACCCATCTTCCACTGCATACCATCCCCTTGCCTTTGCTATTTGTACCTCTAACTATTTGAATCTTTTCCTGTCTGTCCTGTCTCCCCCTTCCTTCCAAAAAGCTGATCTCGTCCAAACCTCTACAGCCTGTGTTCTAACTCACACCACATCTGTTTGCGTGTCACCCTGTGCTCACTGATCTCATTTAGTCCAAGTTGGACAATGCCTCAATTTGAAAATTATCTTCTTTAATTTCAAATCCCTCCATGGTCTTGCTCTTCCTCATTTCTGAGGCGTCTTCCAGGTCTATGAACTTCCAAGACCACAGTGCCCCTCCCGACTGTACCCTCATAGCCTTCCTTGATTTCTATCACTCTGCCATCTACACTCCTGACCAAACCCAAACCTCTGGAATTCTCTCTCCACACCACTCTGCGTCTTTCTCCTTTTTGAAGACACTTTTTAAACCTACTTCCTTGACCAAGCCTTTAGTTATCCGCCCTAAAACTTCCTGACATGGCCAGGTGTGAAATGTTTTTTCCACGAAGCATCTTAGAACAAAGAACAATACAGTATAGAAACAGGCCCTTTGGCCCACCAAGCCTGCACTGACACTTTTTGCCCTTCCGTACTAAACTGTCTTCATTTACAGGATCTGTATCCCTCTGTTCCCGTCCTGTTCATGTATTTGTCCAGGTACTTCTTAAATGCTGCAATTCTGTCTCTCTTTCTACCACCTCCCTTGGCAGCACATTCCAGGCACTCACCACCCTTTGTGAAAAAACTGCCTCGCACATCTCTTTTAAACTTCACTTGACAAAGACTGGATTGTGTTGTCTTTGTAAATTGATCTGGACTTGTGTCTGCAGGTGGAGTGTCTTGATGTCGATGGGTTGTTCAGCAACATTGAATCAGTTCATCAGATATCTGCCAAGCTGTTGTCCATGTTAGAATATGCCATTGCTGAAGATGAGCCAGAGATGCAAATGATTGGTATGTGAGCAGTGATCTGGGGTATATTTATTTTTAACAATTGAGCATCCCTGTAAGAACCACAGACATCGACAAAACAGTAGGAGGGCACTTACACAAACTGACCACACTGACTTTGTGGTAGAACAATTCCAAACCAATCTCTTTCTCTCTCCATTACCTTCACTAAAGCCATCTGAGTTAACCACCTCGTCTCCAATAGCAGCTCATGCAAAAATATTCGTCATCCTCCTCCTTCCTTTCTTGCCATATTTAGTTGTTACGTGCTCAATTCTAACACCGCAACCAGAGGGATAATCTTATTCTCGGTTCTCTGAATTGGAGCTTTTACAATTTTAAAAACCTTAATTAACCATTTCTTAATGGAGTCATGAATTGTGGAGATGTCAAGGTTGGTTGGCTCACCAAGCTGGTTTATTGTTCCGCAGACATTTCGTTACCGTGCTGGGTAACATCCTCAGTGCAGCCTCTGATGAAGCGTCGGTGTGTTTTCCCAGACAACAAGGTGCAGAGCTGGATGAACACAGCAGGCCAAGCAGCATCATAGGAGCAGAAAGGCTGATGTTTCGGGCCTAGACCCTTCATCAGAAGGTGTGTTTTCCTGCCTGGTTTTTAAACTCTGGAGTCCATCGAGCTGGATTGCCTCGCTTCCGGTTTTCCTTTGTAGTGCCATTAATGAACACATAGAACTCGACCCCATATACAGTCCACTACGAAGGAAACCTGGAAGTGAGGCAATCCATCGCAACGGACTCCAGAGTTTAAAAACCAGGTGGGTAAACACACCGACGCTTCATCGGAGGCTGCACTGAGGATGTTACCCAGCACGGTAATGAAACATCTGCGGAACAACAAACCAGCTCGGCGAGCCAACCAACCTCAACACCCACAACCCAAGCTACAGATCTACTCCAAAACCCTGTGGAGCTGTCAGTTTGAGATATAAGATTAGCTGTGATCTTATTGAATAGGGGAGCAAGCTGGAGGAATTGAATGGACAATTTCAGCACCTATTTCATCCATTTTTTTTACTTTACTGTTCCGTCGTCGCACCTTTCAGTATTTCACACCTCTGGTAACACGCCTTAATTATGCTGTCTGCTCTTTATAGCTTTAATAGTCTTTCTAAAACTGCCCACAGTACTCCTGCTGTGACCAACGAATGTTTTGTACAACTGATTAATTCTGAAATGTTCTGTTTATAAAATGCAAAAGGCTTTCATTTTTGTATAACTTTGCATCCCTGATGTCTTTTTTCAGTGATTTCATCTTGAGGCCAGTATAACAGTATTGTACTGGTAGTAACACTAGGATTAATCATATTACTGTTGGATAACGGGAGGTAAACACCCTCTAACAGCTGGAAATTGTGTCATTCATGCAATTGATCAACCATCAATAGGGACAATGAGGAATAAAAGTAACCTTGAACACAATTTCCCACTGCCAGTTTCTCTTTTCTTTCATGTGAAAAGGGGACTTAATTAAGAAGGGTTACTGTGAAATACAATCCCCACCAATTCCACCATCTATACCCCAGAGCAAAGAGAACTCTGGGAACTGCTACTGAGCATGCGCACAAGGAGCTACATCATGTTGATATCAGATCACATGGAACTGGAGTCTTCCAGAAGATATCATCTCTTCCCATCTTTTGCAAGTAATTATGTTTCTTAACATTCTGTAAGGATGTGTACCTCACCTTACTATACACCCTTATCAGCAGCCAGCCTTGAACAAATCGTGCTGACCATTTGCTGGACAAGATTCAAAACATACAAGAGGAGGCTTGACAGGGTAGACATTAAGAAGACATTTCCAATAATGGAGGAATCTCAAACTCGGGATTATGGGTACGCATCATGGAGGGGGGAGCTCATTTAAATCTGAGATGGGAAGAACTTTCTTCTCTCAGAGGGTAGTGAATGTCTGGAATTTTGGAGGCCAGAGAGATGTGGAGACTAGATCACTGAAAGTGTTTAATGAGAAATTATGTAGGATTTAAAAAAGTTGAGGAGTTGAGGGATACAGGGAGCTGACTCAAAAGAGGAGTTGAGGCTTGGGGCAAAGCATCCATGAACTTGCTGAATAGTGGGCTGAATGGCCTGCTCCAGCTCCTGTTTCTTATGTTCTTATGACAGTAGGTGCCATTGCAAAGCTGACACTTATGACATATTTCATGTGGTTCAGTAAGTAGCTACCTTGTACTTATTGATTTTGACAAAATTTCTGCTATTTTCAGGCAAGTTTGGGTAACCTGCTCCTCACACCAGGTTAAAGTTCAAGGACCTTAATGATGAAATATTTGTATAACTATTAACGAGTAGGCGAGGCAGCTGATGAAGGGAGACTTTAATTTTTGATCGCTTGGTCTTTTCTTTTAACTCCCTGTCACACATACTACTCAAAAATTCTGTTAACAGTTATATTCCTGCTGAAATTGCCATGTCAGTCTTCCCAATCTCTCCCCTCGACATGTCAATCAATGAATATTCAGCATTCAGTATTAGGCAAACTCCCGAAAAACCCATTCAAATTACAATGCAACCACCTTGGCTTTCTCTTTGTCTGGGCCTTCTTTGTGAGCCTGTGCAATAAATGTGTGACATTAATACACACATTCATGCTGACGTAAGATAGAATAGAATAGCCTTTATTGTCATGTGCTCTTGAAAGAATGCAGTGAAAAGTTTGTAATGTCACCTCTCGGTGCCATCTTAGGTACAGGGTAGTGAGGTACAGATACTTTAAGTGTTGTTACAGAATTGAAATAGTAAAAAATAAGGACTGGTATGGATATACAGAGTTTAAAAAGTCCAGAATGAGAATAGAAAGTATCTTTAAAGTATTCAGGTTATTGACCTTTAACATTGATTCCGTGTCTACCAGGCTTCAGAACACAAGGCCACACTGCCTTCACACGCTGGTCTCCATCCAGGTCTCATCCCCACAGCCAGCCTGCGCTTGATCCGCTCCCCGCTCCCCACTCCGGGACACGCCTCGGTCCCCGCTCTCCGCTCCAGGACACGCCCCGCTCCCTGCTCCGGGACTCGCCCTGCTCTGGGACACACCCCGCTCCCCGCTCCAGGACTCGCCCTGCTCTGGGACTTGTCCCGTTCCCCGCTCCGGGACACGCCCCACTCCCCACTCCGGGACACGCCCCGCCTCCCACTCCGGGACACGTCCCGCTCCGGGACATGCCCCGCTCCGGGACACGCCCCGCTCCGGGACACGCCCC